CTCTCTCTCTCTCTCTTTCGTCCCTCCCTTGTCTTGCGTGAGAGCACGTTACTGGCTGCTTTGGCATTATTAAATTACTACGAATTACAAGGAGATTATTTCCCTTTGTTTCTCGTCCGCCTGCCGCCATCTTGTCACTGTTGATGAACCGCACGAGAAATCATTCTCCTTATTTCCCCCTTTTTTGTCGACTTGCTCTTTCTCTTTTTATCTATTTGCTCTTTCTATTCTCCTCTTTTGCATTTGATTTATGTTGTCTTGATACACCTCTCCATTTTCTGAATCTCCAACCAACACGTTATATCTATGTATCCATCAAACGTTAAGCCTATTAACTTCTCTTCTGGGCTTTTAGCCCCCGCACCTAAAGACTCTCTCTCTCTGTGTGTGTGTGTGTGTGTGTGTGTGTGTGTGTGTGTCTGTCTCTGTCTTTCTCGCTCTCTACTTTTGCTCTTTTGCGAATTAGTATTCGCCACATAGATAAGTTACCCTTTATAGAACGTTTTTTGTTTTAAATCTTGCGATTTATTGTGTACATCTTTTGTGTAAACACCAGATGTCAAAATATACTCATTGCACTCCAAAAGAAGACTCAACTGCTCTGTTAGTAGAATATAGCACCTGTCTTATTCTCAAATGTGATTAATTGTTGTCTACTTTTGTGTGGTCCGAATTTTCCATCCTTTTGTTAATCCATATTTCCCGTTTTTTCCTCACCGAAATGGCCCAGGCGATCCGCTTTGAAAATGACAATTTTTTTTGTACTTAGTAGGGAGATAAACACATTTTGTAATAACACATTTATCTGAACACATGTAATAACACATTTATCCCCGTAAAGGTTCTGTTAAGTTTTGATCCTCCTTTCGACATCAGTCCTTTGATCATTTATCACAATCCTTGCTCCGCACCATCAACACTGGTCCAATACTGTATAACAAGTCGCGTGCTGTATCGCATTAACACATACACATTGAAGAGATCGGGTGGATAAAAGAAAACAGCGAGAAACACGTCGTTTTCTGTCCGACACAATATAACAGAGCTGCGGAAATTACATTTCTGTCCGACCAGTCCATTTCATAGTCGATCAAACGGCTCGCTCCGCTGGCAATGATCAAAGATGCGTCATTAGGATAGTGTGGGAGCTGAGCGTGTGCTGTGAGGCTGTGTGTGGGCTCCGGGCCTCACATCGGTCAATTAGTGGCCCACAAAACGACAGCCTTCCGACAAGGGCGTGGAATAACAGGGGGCTGTGTGGAGACCAAAGGTGTCAACTTCTGAATCTTTTAGACCAATTCCTACCAGCAAATTATGGGCTGTAATAATAATATTTGTTTTGGTTTGGAAATTGGTCACGTTACTTTCCAAAATAGTTGCACTTATTTTTTTCATTTTATGACGTGGCGTCTCCCACTCCCTCCCCCTTCTCTCTCTCTCTCTCT